GGTGTTATGATGCAAACAATGCCTGGCTGCAGGTGTTATGATGCAACAATGCCCTGGCTGCAGGTGTTATGATGCAACAATGCCCTGGCTGCAGGTGTTATGATGCAACAATGCCCAGGCTGCAGGTGTTATGATGCAACAATGCCCTGGCTGCAGGTGTTATGATGCAACAATGGCAGGATGTCCACGTTATATGCAACTTCGTCAAATAAAAAAGTACGAAATACAATAACCATTCCCATTTAAAATATGTATGCTGGCACAGATATTTTCGTGTGTGCATGTACAAGTATATATTCTTACACGAATTCATATATGGTTGTATTGACTATACATCTGCATATGCGTACAGTATCCTCTAGATTAAGTTGTACCTTACAGGTGTGGAGATAAAAAGTATACAATACCGACATGATGAAAAAATTAAACAAATGCAGTATAGTGCTAACCTTTACTGACGTTTCGCCCACACAATGGAATCAAATCACAAACAGAACCACCTGGGTAGAGTACGTGAGTATACATAGTGTGGAGAGTCAGGTGGAGAATGTTGGGTAGGTTGTATGACCCGGACCTGCACGGGTATACCTGGAGTATACCTGGAGAGGGTTTCGAGGGTCAACGCTCCCGCGGCCCGGTCTGAGACCAGGCCTCGTGGTGGATCAGGGTCTGATCAACCAGGCTGTTACTGCTGGCCGCACGCAAACCGACGTAAAAACCACAGCCTGGCTGGTCAGGTTCTGACTTTAGGTACCTGTCCAGTGTCTTCTTGAAGACAGACAGGGGTCTATTGGTAATTCTCCTTTTGTATGCTGGGAGGGAACTGAACAGTCTTGGGCCCCTGACACTTACTGTGTCGTCTCTCAGTGTTCCGTGGCGCCTCTGCTTTTCATTGGGGGAATGTTCCATCTCCTGCCGAGTCTTTTGGTTTCATAGGGAGTGATTGTCGTGTGCAAGTTTGGTACTAATCCCTCTAGCATTTTCCAAGTGTATATTATCATGTATCTCTCTCGCCTGCATTCCAGGGAATGCAAATCAAAGGACTTCAACCGTTTCCAGTAATTTAGGTGCCTTATCGCACTTATGTGTGCCGTGAAAGTTCTTGGTACACTCTACAGGTCATCAATTTTGCCTGCCTTGAACGGGCAGTTAGTGTACAGCAGTATTTCAGCCTAGAGAGAACAAGTGATTTGAAGAGAATCATGGGCTTGGCGTCCCTAGTTTTGAAGGTTCTCATTATCCATCCTATCATTTTCCTAGCAGATGCGGTAGATGCATTGTCCTGGTCTCTGAAGGCGAGATCCTCTGACATTATCACTCCCAGGTCCTTCAAATTACTTTTTCGCTCTATTGTATGGTTAGAATTTGTCGTATACCCTGATACAGTTTTAATTTCCTCAAGTTTTCCATATTTGAGTAGTTGAAATTTCTCCTCATTGAACTTCATGTTGTTTTGAGTGGCCCATTTGAAGATTTGGTTGATGTCCGCTTGGAGTCTCGCAGTGTCTTCGATGGATGTCACCGTCATGGCAATTCGGATGTCATCGGCAAAGGAAGATACGGAGCTATGGCTTACATCTCTGTGTATGTCAGATATGAGGATGAGGAATAGAATGGGAGCGAGTACTGTGCCTTGTGGAACAGAGCTTTTCACCGTAGCTGCCTCAAACTTTACTCTGTTTGCTATTACTCTTTGTGTTCTATTTGTCAGGAAATTATAGATCCATCTACCAACTTTTTCTGTTGTTCCTTTATCACTCATTTTGTGCGCTATTGCACCATGGTCACACTTTAACGCTTTTGCAAAGTCTGTGTATACTACATCTGTATTTTGTTTATCTTCTACAGCATCCAGGACCTTGTCATAGTGGTCCAGTAGCTGGACCAGGCAAGAGCGACCTGCTCTAAACCCATGTTGCTCTGGGTTGTGTAATTCATGGGTATCTAGGTGGTTGGCGATCTTGCTTCTTAGGACCCTTTCAAAGATTTTATGATATGGAATGTTAGTGCTATCGGTCTGTAGTTCTTTACAACTGCTTTACTGCCACCTTTGTAGAGTAGGGCTATGTCTGTAGTATTTAGTGAGTGTGGGATGACCCTTGTGCCCATGCTTCCTCTCCATAGAATGCTGAAGGCATGTGACAGGGGCTTCTTGCAGATCTTAATGAACACGGAGTGCCATGAGTCTGGGCCTGGGGCAGAGTGCATGGGCATGTCATTTATTGCCTTTTCAAAGTCTTGTGGTGTTAAGATAATATCAGAGATTCTTGAGAGAACCAAATTTTGGGTCTCGTTCATAAAGAATTCGTCTGGATTGTCGACCCTTGGTCTAGGTAGCAGCTCACTGAACATTGAGCCGTATTGGGACTTTAGTATCTCACTCATTTCTTGGCTGTCATATATGTCCCATCTCTCCTAGCAGGGGCCCAATACTAGAGGTTGTTTTACTCTTAGATTTGGCATACCAGAATAAGTATTTCTTTCAATTTCCTTATGGCTTTTAGTTCTTCCTGCGATTCTTGTCTCCTGTACGATTCCTTCAGCTTAAGTTTGATATTTGCAATTTCATTGACCAGTACCTCCCTTCGTATTTCAGGAGCACAGTGGCTCTTCGGCTTCGTCTATATAGGGAGCGTCTCTCTCTTTCTAGTTTACATCTTTCTTTTTCTTAATGGAATGTGCCTTGAGCAGATCTCAGGAACCATAGAGTTTATTTTTTCCAGGCAAGGGTTGGGATCTGTGTTGTTTAGGATATCTTCCTAGCTTGTTTCATTGAGAACATGGTTGACTTGTTCCCATTGTATGTTTTTGTTATTGAAGTTGAATTTTGTGAAGACACCCTCATGATTGATCACATTTTGCTGGTCAGCAGCCCTGTGCATACATGTCTGTACTTCTGTTATGTTGTGATTTGAGTGTGTCTTTGATACGGTTATATTACGTATCAGATCGTCGTTGTTACTGAAGATGAGGTCCAGCGTACTTTCTTGTCTTGTAGGCACTAATATTTTCTGGTTTAAGGTGAATTTTATTCAGAGATTTAGTAGCTCGTGTGTGTGTGAATCTCTGCTAAAATATTATTTGCTACACTCCTCCATTTTAGGTGTCTCAAGTTGAAATCTCCCAGTAGTAAGATATTTGGAGCAGGAGTTGGGAGATTTTCCAGTGGTTACCTGGAGGTTATTCCGGGGATCAACGCCCCCGCGGCCCGGTCCATGGCCAGGCCTCCCGATGGATCAGGGCCTGATCAACTAGGCTGTTACTGCTGGCCGCACGCAGTCCAACGTACGAGCCACAGCCCGGCTGATCCGGCACTGACTTTAGGTATCTGTCCAGCTCTCTCTTGAAGGCAGCCAGGGGTTTATTGGCAATTCCCCTAATGCTTGATGGGAGGCTGTTGAACAGTTTTGGGCCCCGGACACTTACGGTGTTTTCCCTTAGTGTACCAATGGCGCCCCTACTTTTTACTGGGGGCATTTTGCATCGCCTGCCCAGTCTTTTACTTTCGTAGGGAGTGATTTCTGTGTGCAGATTTGGGACCATTCCTTCCAAGATTTTCCAAGTGTAGATTATGATATATCTCTCCCTCCTGCGTTCCAACGAGTACAAGTCAAGTGCTTCCAAGCGTTCCCAGTAGTTAAGGTGTTTGACAGAACTTATACGTGCAGTAAAAGATCTCTGTACACTCTCTAGATCTGCGATTTCACCTGCTTTGAATGGAGATGTTAATGTACAGCAGTATTCCAGCCTAGAGAGAACAAGTGATTTGAAAAGGATCATCATGGGCTTGGCATCTCTCGTTTTGAACGTTCTCATTATCCATCCTATCATTTTCTTTGCACGTGCGATCGTGGCACTGTTGTGATCCTTGAAAGTGAGATCCTCAGACATTACTACTCCCAGGTCCCTTACATTATTTTTCCGCTCTATTGTATGGCCGGAGTCAGTAGTATACTCTGTTCTAGTTATTATCTCCTCCAGTTTTCCATAACGGAGTAGTTGGAATTTGTCCTCATTGAACATCAATTTTCAAAAGCTGCAAGATAAGGATGAAGAAATTTCCTGGCAAGGGGTTCAGTTATGTTGTAAAATACTGCATTTGTGTTTATTTTTTCCACCTTATAAGCGTAAGAAAGTTATTTAACTTAAATCAGAAGAAAATCAGAGTTAGATCGGTATCCTTCAATACAGAAAAAATAACCATATAACCTATCACGTTGTATACATCAGTAACCTGTGTCTCCAACATGGCTACAACTATATAACCTTACATAATTTATATATAACGTGAGCTTGGTTTCAAACATGGCCCGCGGCCCGGTCCATGACCAGGCCTCCTGGTGGATCAGGGCCTCATTAACGAGGGTGTTACTGCTGGCCGCATTAGTTCATATTTGTGTCCCTACAGTTATTATTCTGTAAAACCTCCTTTAGCCTTCATGACGTGGAGGCGCTCTGGTTATTGTTTTTGTACAAGGTAAGAGCTGTTATCCTACCTCAGTTTGTGTTAAAAACTGACCCTAACTATGGTATACTACCCCCCTCCCCAGGATACCACTCACGCAACCCCCATCCCCAGGATACCACTCACACAACCCCCATCAACAGGATACCACTCACACAACCCCCATCAACAGGATACCACTCACACAACCCCCATCCCCAGGATACCATTCACACTACTCCCATCCCCAGGATACCACTCACAATAGTTGACATACATCCAGGGACCTATTTACTGTTAGGTGTAGAGTGTCAACAGGTGTACAAGGAGACGCAGTTCATGTTTGTCACGTCTTCCGTAATTCTGGTTCGGAGAACTTAACACACAAAACACTGACATAATAAAGCTTGTCGAAATTAAAAAAAAAATCCCTATCAAATAAGTAAAGTTATGGATAAACAGCAAACAGAAGTAAATTTAAGAAAAAGTGACAATGAACAGAAATAAATTAGGAGGTGGATAGGACAAGAGAGAACACAGTAAGACTGTGACTTACCAGCAGCAGCGTCACCAGGATGTTCACGGGTTTCATCTTCTCGTTTTAAAACTCTGAACGAAAAAACACAGAACATGTCAGTTATTATATTTATAAATATAAGGGCTAAACCCGTGTGGGTTACACAATATTATTTTTATTTTAAAACAAATACCAGTTTCTCGGGTTCAAAAATATTTCGAATTAAATGTGCTTGACTGACGTGTGCCTGATTGCGTTGTGCTTGACTGACTGTTGGCCTGACTGACGTGTGCCTGGCTGAAGTGTGCCTGACGTGCGCCTGACTGAAGTTCCCTGGCTGACGGTGTCTGATTAAAGAGTGCCTGACTGACGTGTACCTGACTGAGTGTACCTGACTGACGGTACCTGACTGACGTGCGCTGACTGAAGTTTTTACCTGACTGACGTGTGTCTGATTAAAGTGTGCCTGACTGACGTGTGCCTGACTGACGTGTGCCTGACTGCGTGTCCCTGACTGACGTGTACCTGACTGACGTGTGCTGACTGAAGTGCGCCTGACTGACGTGTACCTGACTGACGTGTACCTGACTGACGTGGGTCTGATTGAAGTGTGCCTAAATGACGTGTCCCTGACTGACGTGTACCTGACTGACGTGTGTCTGATTGAAGTGTGCCGACTGACGTGTACCTGACTGACGTGTACCTGATGACGTGTGCCTGACTGAAGTGTACTGACTGAAGTGTACCTGACTGACGTGCGCCTGACTGAAGTGTACCTGACTGACGTGTGTATGATTGAATGTGCCTGACTGAAGTGTCCCTGACTGACGTGTACCTGACTGACGTGTACCTGACTGACGTGTGCCTGACTGAAGTGTACCTGACTGACGTGTACCTGACGGGACGTGTGCCTGACTGACGTGCGTCTGATTGAATTGTGCCTGACTGACGTGGGGCCTGACTGACGTGTACCTGGCTGACGTTTTGCCTAAACTGAAGGGGCGCCTGACTGCCCGTGCGTCTGATTGAAGTGTGCCTGACTGACGTGTGCCTGACTGACGTGTCCCTTTGGCTGACGTGTGCCTGACGACGTGTGCCTGACTGACGTGCGTCTGATTGAAGTGTGCCTGACTGACGTGTGCCTGACTGACAGTACCTGGCTGACGTGTGCCTGACTGACGTGTGCCTGACTGACGTGCGTCTGATTGAAGTGTGCCTGACTGACGTGTGCCTGACGACGTGTGCCTGATGAAGTGTACCTGACTGACTTTGTGTATGATTGAAGTGTGCCTGACTGAAGTGTACCTGACTGACGTTGTACCTGACTGACGTGTACCTGACTGACGTGTGCCTGACTGAAGTGTCCCTGACTGACGTGTACCTGACTGACGTGTGCCTGACTGACGTGCGTCTGATTGAATTGTGCCTGACTGACGTGTGCCTGACTGACGTGTACCTGGCTGACGTGTCCCTAACTGAAGTGCGCCTGACTGACGTGCGTCTGTTTGAAGTGTGCCTGATGACGTGTGCCTGACTGACGTGTACCTGGCTGACGTGTGCCTGACTGACGTGTGCCTGACTGACGTGCGTCTGATTGAAGTGTGCCTGACTGACGTTGCCTTTGACTGACGTGTACCTGGCGGGACGTGTTGCCTGACTGACGTTTTGCCTGAATGACGTGCGTCTGATTGAAGTGTGCCTGACTGACGTGTGCCTGACTGACGTGTGCCTGACTGACGTGTGCCTGACTGAAGTGCGCCTGACTGACGTGTACCTGACTGACGTGCCCCTTGACTGACGTGTCCCTGACTGACGTGTGCCTGACTGACGTGGCTGACTGAAGTGCGCCTGACTGCGTGTACCTGACTGACGTGTGCCGGGACTGACTTGTGCCGGCTGACTTGTGCCTGCCTGACGTGTGCCTGACTGACGTGTGCCTGCCCGGGACTTGTGCCTGGCTGAAGTGTGCCTGACGTGTGCCTGACTGAAGTGTACCTGACTGACGTGTGTCTGATTGAAGTGTGCCGGGAGTGTGCCTGACTGACGTGTGCCGACTGAAGTGCGCCTGACTGACGTGTGCCTGACTGAAGTGCCCCTGACTGACGTGTGCCTGACTGAAGTGTGCCTGACTGAAGTGTGCCTGACTGAAGTGTGCCTGACTGACGTGGGGTCTAACTGACGTGTGCCTGACTGACGTGTGCCTGACTGACGTGTGCCCTGATTAAAGTGTGCCTGACGACGTGTGCCTGACTGACGTGTGCCTGACTGACGTGTGCCTGACTGACGTTGCCTGACTGACGTGTGGCCTGACGAGTTGTCGACTGACGTGGCCTAAACTGACGTGGCCTGACGACGTGTGCTGACGACGTGTGCCTGACTGACGTGTGTCGACTGACGTGTGCCTGATTGAAGTGTCCCCTGATGACGTGTGCCTGACTGACGTGTGCCTGACTGAGTGTGCCCGGGACTGACGTGTGCCTGACTGACGTGTGCCTGATGACGTGTGCCTGACTGAAGTGTGCCTGACTGAAGTGTGCCTGACTGACGTGTGCCCGACTGAAGTGTGCCGACTGAAGTGTGCCTGACTGAAGTGTGCCTGACTGAAGTGTGCCTGACTGAAGTGTGCCTGACTGACGTGTGCCTGACTGACGTGTGCCTGACTGACGTGTACCTGACTGACGTGTGCCTGACTGACGTGTGCCTGACTGACGTGTGCCTGACTGAAGTGTGCTGACTGAAGTGTCCCTGACTGAAGTGTGCCGACTGAAGTGTGCCTGACTGAAGTGTGCCTGACTGAAGTGTGCCTGACTGAAGTGTGCTAAGTCTTCAGATCATTAGGATGCAGTTTTAAGCCTTCAAGTAGTTAGCCTAACGTTGCTACATTAAAGGTTGTTCCCCTCTGAAGGCACCTTGATACAGGTGAGAGGCTCCTTTTAAAAGGAACAAAAAACTATCCTCCTTTCTTTGGATAAAACCCTTTGAATTAACTCCCATTCCCCGAGGCCCCTGTGTGACCCCACGGGTTTAGCGTTCCAAAAACGTAATAAAAAATTATTTTGCCCAGCGTAAGTGCTGGTGAACACTTAAATAACCCTAAATGAACCTTAAAACATACATAATGAACCTTAAAGATACTACATAAGCCTTAAAAAGAACTAAATATACCTTAAAGAGATACATGTACTAGATAAACCCTAAAAGATACAAATGAACCCTTAAAGACACTAAATAAATTTTTAACGATACTAAATGAACTTTGAAAAATACTATGTAAACCTGGTGAAGGTCGCATCCTGGGACACAACTGACATAATTTGCTCGAAATGCTCTGCATAACAAAAGGGGTTTCTAGAAGTAGCAGAGTATGTCCTGATGTCATCTAGGAATGTATACCTAGTACATGTACTTGTAGTAAATAAATATATTATTATATTATCTTGTGATCACGGTAGCCCGTCCAGACTGACCTCAATGATTAGCCAGTCCAGAGTGACCCCATGGTAGCCAGTCCAGACTGACCTCATGATTTGCCCCGTCCAGAATGACCCCATGGTAGCCAGTCCAGACTGACCTCATGGGAGCCAGTCCAGACGACCTCATGGTAGCCAGTCCAGACTGACCTCATGGGAGCCAGTCCAGACTGACCTCATGGTAGCCAAATCCAGACTGACCTCATGATAGCCAGTCCAGACTGACCCTCATGGTAGCCAGTCCAGACTGACCTCATGGTAGCCCGTCCAGACTGACCTCATGGTAGCCAGTCCAGACTGACCTCATGGTAGCCAGTCCAGACTGACCTCATGATAGCCAGGCCAGACTGACCTCATGGTAGCCAGGCAGACTGACCTCATGGTAGCCAGGCCAGACTGACCTCATGGTAGCCAGTCCAGACCTGACCTCATGGTAGCCAGGCCAGACTGACCTCATGGTAGCCCCGTCCAGACTGACCTCATGGAAGCCAGGCAGATGACCTCATGGTAAACCAGTCCAGACTGACCTCATGGTAGGCCAGTCCAGACTGACCTCATGGTAGCCAGGCCAGACTGACCTCATGGTAGCCAGGCCCAAAGGACCTCATGGTAGCCAGGCCAGGGCTGACCTCATGGTAAACCAGTCCAGACTGACCTCATGGTAGCCAGCCAGACTGACCTCTGGTAGCCAGTCCAGACTGACCTCATGGTAGCCAGTCCGACTGACCTCATGTAGCCAGTCCAGACTGACCTCATGATTGCCAGTCCAGACTGACCTCATGATAGCCAGTCCAGACTGACCTCATGGTAGCCAGTCCAGGGCTGACCTCATGGTAGCCAGTCCAGACTGACCTCATGAAGCCAGTCCAGACTGACCTCATGGTAGCCAGTCCAGACTGACCTCCCCTGGTAGCCAGTCCAGACTGACTATGGGTAGCCCAGTCAGACTGGACCTCATGGTAGCCAGTCCAGACTGACCTCATGGTAACCAGTCCAGACTGACCATGGTAGCCAGTCCGAACTGACCTCATGGGAGCCAGTCCAGACTGACCTCATGGTAGCCAGTCCAGACTGACCTCATGGTAGCCAGTCCAGACTGACCTCATGGTAGCCAGTCCAGGGCTGACCCCATGGTAGCCAGTCCAGACTGACCTCAGATAGCCAGTCCAGACTGACCCCATGATAGCCAGTCCAGATGACCTCATGGTAGCCGTCCAGACTGACCTCATGGTAGCCAGGCCAGACTGACCTCATGATAGCCAGTCCAGACTGACCTCATGGTAGCTAATCCAGACTGACCTCCCTGATAGCCAGTCCAGACTGACCTCATGGTAGCCAGTCCAGACGACCTCATGATAGCCAGTCCAGACTGACCTCATGGTAGCCCGTCCAGACTGACCTCATGGTAGCCAGGCCAGACTGACCTCATGATTTGCCAGTCCAGACTGACCTCATGATAGCCAGTCCAGACTGGGCCCATGGTAGCCAGGCCCAAATGACTCATGATAGCCAGTCCAGACTGACCTCATGATAGCCAGTCCAGACTGACCTCATGATAGCCAGTCCAGACTGGGCCTCATGGTAGCCAGGCCAGACTGACCTCATGATAGCCAGTCCAGACT